ACCCACTGTCACTCTCTATTTTCCAACAGGCATATCCGACGGGGAAAACCCTCCCATGAACGAAGCGAAGGGAGAAATTTTCCCTGCGCTCACCAGCCTCACTGGCTTCAGTGTGTCTGCGCTGAATGTGGGCTTGGAGGAAAGAGTAGTTCACAAAAGCTTTATCGCAGAGCTGGCACTGGGGAGGGAAAACAGGCCGGTGAGAGGACTTGCATCTGCAGAGAGAAGCGCTTCACTCATCTGAGGGAAAGGAGATTATTCTGCTAGTCTGAAGCAAAAGGGGAGATCTTAAGAGGCTTGCCTAATGTATCAGAGATGTCTTAGATCAAGGCTGTTAGGAGTCTGCTGCGTGAAGTCCAAGGACCACCAAATCCAGGAGCTTCTGGAAATAGGGCTGGAGGGTGTTTAAAGTCTCCCTGCCACGAAGTATCCCCCAGAACCCACGGGTGTTTTAAGATCTCCCTGTACACCCTCCTTCTCAGTGGTATGGGCAGCTCTGACTACCTAGAGTTGACTCTGCACCTCCCAAAAAGAGGGAACGTCCCTCTGGGCTAACAAGGACTCTGCAATCTCCATGAAGCTGCCAAGGAGCGAACCCAGAGCAAATATGATGAACTGGGGACAGGGAAAGCAGTAGGGCTGGATGGTATTTTCCTGGGGTCAAGGTGACTTGTGAAAAGCCCCCACCGTTGAGCATGAGCTGGTGCTCTGCTGTTTGCAGGTTTTGGAGGAAGCAAGCCCTGAGTTACTCGCAACGTTGCTAGGCAGGAGAGCTGGGGTCATGCCAGGCATCAGTGCCAGTGGCCACCAGTGTGCATTACTGACCATGCCCAGTAACGGCTTTGGTATGGGACTGACTTTATGCTGGACTAGCTGGAAGTATAGATTTATGGCCCTTACTGGTCCATATGCTCAGGCTGGGCCATGAAACCCCTCTCTGATCGTGGCAACCCTCTGGGAGCCCCCAAGATGCCAGCAGGTTACAGGTGCAGCAAAGAGCCTCGGGATGTGATTTAGAGTGGCTTTACGAGACCCAAGGCGGCCCACCATCCCCTTTCTGCCACGCACCTTGTGGTAGCTATTAGCCCCAGCTTGCAAGAGGAGCTGCTGGGTGGCAATCAGCTTCTTGCGCCTCCTGCTCTCCTCCTTCACCCCCCTGAGCTCTTGCGCCTGCCTCGCTGCCTCCTGCTTCGCACGGGCCAGCTCATCGAGGCCAGCCTGGAGGTGACCAGCCTGCAGGCCCAGCGCGGTGCTCAGGCTCTCCTGGCAGTGCAGCAGGTACTCGATGCTCAGCTGGGCCATCTTGAGCACCTTCAGCA